CAGGGGCGGTTTCGGTTAAGGCCACGAGTTATCTGAGTGTTTATGGCCTTAAGTGCTGTTGTTGTGCTATGCACTTTACGGAACCCATGCTGATGATTCACTGGGGTCAGTTGGCTCGTAAAATACGGGAGTAACAGGGCCTCTAGTGTCTTCGCTACCGGCGAAGGGCGGGTTATCGGGCGATAAGACTTCCTTTGTTGGCTGGTTTCCCCGATTAAGCAGTGGGACCACTCTCCCCATTTTCCAGATGTCTGGAATGGCGAGAGTGGCCATAGACAGGTTGAGGACCTCCGTTAGGTGCATACTCCCGAAGGACCCAAATTTTTCAGCATCAACATGCATATTCCGTCGAGTCCAATGGCTTTGGAGGCTTTCGCCTTCCCGATGGCTACCCTTGCCTCACCGCTGGCGAAAACAAGAGGCGCACTGGGTTTTGGCATTTTGTGCAGCCTTCTGGTCGTTAGAGGTTTGGCTTTATCCACCGGAGGATGCAGAATGAACTACCGGCTAAAATAGCTCGCGCATCGCTCCGGGTCCGACGAAGCGTGGTCACCAAAGTCTATTTCGACTCTGTCGTCACGCTTCGTCGGGTTGGACAACAACCTCACACATCACTTTTAATTTTTGACTATAAGGACCCTCCCCTGGAAATGCCCATATAAAATATTAGACTTATGGAATCACCCACATCCTTTGAAAGCGTAAGTATACAGTATTAAAAGTACATAACTAAAAAATATATATTTTAGAGTCAAAATTGTGGGAGCTATGATTTTCCTTCCCCTAAATCGCCGAAATTACGCACTGTGCGGCGAAGGTACTAAAGCATCTGCTGTATACCACCATGCATACAGACCTCATGGGCGTGCGCAACGAGTAGTTCCGTCAGCGGGCCATTCTTCGGAAGAATCATCGGATGTCGCTGGTCATATGGAAGTTGCGCAAGTTCCAGGCGTCCCCCTACCCGGAGGACTCGTTCTTTATCCAGAAAGGGATTCAAAGGGAAGAGCTTGCTTGATGAGTGTATGCTGGAACGAGATTCGAGAGAATTAATTTCGGTAAGGAATACGTTACCTTGGGACTGGTTTTATGCACGCGAAGGACCCAACGTAGTTCGTCTACAGTCAATACATCATTTCTATGACCCTGGAAGATTGGCCGTATTCTGCGAATGCGCACCGCGGTGTTCAATAGTCGACTAAATCGGCCGCACTTTTCCACTAGGGGTATTCGTTGATTGTCATATGAAGTCATTATAAATGGCGTTTTTGACCCCACGCCAAGTAGAATTTGAGGCCCGCGACCTTCATTTAAGGTCACTTGTTCCTCTGCTGTTGTCAGCTCGGGCATCGTTGTTACGCAGGTCTGACGAATACATGACGGCCCAGACCACCAAAGCGCATGCCCCCCCCCAGAGCGGCTGGATCCACTCCCCGGCTTGCGAAATCCGCAGGTTTGGATTCTGAGCGTATATGGTTCCAGCAGTTCACCTTGGAGTTTTCCTGAATGAACGCCACACTATTTGCAACAAATGGATTTAATGTTGATGGCGACTCGCATATCCAGTGAAGGACGATAGCCGCGTCACTCCAAAGGGTACATATGGTAACATTCTCGAGATGTAGAATTTTACGAACATTTTCTAAAGTGAAAGAGAACGAAAAATGACACTGAAGATGGCACAACGCCGAAACCGGTTTGTCTCCAAACCAAATTTGACAAGGGATGACGGAAATTCGTTCCATAATACATCATACACCCACCCTGTCGGAAACAACAACAACCAAAAAGGAAAAATTTTCTAAAGTAGCCACCAGGAGGTGAGCTGCCCTCAGCTCTAATTGGGGTATGGTAATATGTTTTGCCGGTGCGACCTTAGTTTTAGCTGCAACCAGGGCAACACGGACCTCTCCTCCCAAGGTTTCACTACTCACGTAAATCACAGCAGCGTAGGCTTTACTGCTCGTGTCGCAAAATCCCCGCGGCGTCGCAGTGCCAGTACGGTGCATGCCAAGCCAGCGGGGTTTGCGAATTCGACCTACTTCGACTAATCCATTTCGAAATCCACCGTACCTTGAAGTCAGCTGGCAGCGGCGTGTCCCAACATATTGACCTTGCACAGTTCTTGTGTGAATATTTTTGCGTATACCACAATTGGAGCCAACATTCCAATCGGATCGCTCAGCATGGAACGTAATTATTCCGTGGTTATCGATCGCGCACTGTTGTAACGCACGAACAGCGTTATATGGGCTGCGAGCCATTCCATAAGTAACGGTGCTCAGCTGATAGGTGCGAAAGGGATCGTCAGGAGACCCCCTCCAGATAATCTGCTGCCAAGCGAGATGTCTGGGATCTGCTTCAACTTGTCGAAACATCTTCTTGATGTCACCCGTAATCGCTACAGCGAATCGACGGAACAAGGTTGTCGTGGAGTTGAGTACCGGCAAACTGTATATCGTTCAGCGATACCCCGTTGCTCGATTTGGCCCAGGCGTTGAACACTACCCGAAACTTCGTCAGTACAGCATAGTGTGGGATGAAGTAGCATTTAGGATCACATATCAGAATCCCCAACCACTTTCATGTGACCCAGTGCCTCGTATTCTCGCATAAACTCCACATATTTCTCACGGAGCTTCTGATTGCTTGCCAACTTGCGTTCCAACTGAAGAAATTGGGGTAGCACTGCCCTGCGAGAATACCCAAGTCCCAGGGCGTCACGACGAAATGGAATTTGAACACTATATCGCCCGTCTGGCCTCCGCGTGACAGTGTTCATGAAGATGCATTCACACTCGTCCTCTTCAGGGTTTCGTATCTCTGAGGATGCTTCTTCCTCCGAAAACTGCGGCAACAAAACATCCAGCCGTTGTACATCGCATTTATTAGCTGTATATGCATGCCCTGGTATGTCCCGAGTATTGGTGTTGTTTAACTGAACACGATCCTACCGAGGCGGGTCTGCAGCGCGCACGGTTGGTTTACATTACCCGCAACTTCCCCGTCCTGGATAATTGCGCTCCAAGTATCAGCACCTAGAAGCAGATCTATATGTCCAGGTGTTCCAAATGTGAGATCGGCAAGTCGTAACCAATTTATATGGTTCCAAGAACTGGTACCAATTGACGTTACCGGTGTGGTAGACATTATTGTACGTAAAATGTATAAATCTAAGTTGATCTCCAGGCCTTCGTTGACTCTAGAATGCAACCTTATGGTAGCTATGCCCTTGGTGTAAGCTGACGAAGCTCTTCCCATGCTCTCCACCAGCACCGCGCAGCGTCGTCTACGTAAATTCAACTTATTAAATATTGACTCTTTTATAAGACTAACCTGAGATCCCATATCCCACAGCGTCCGGCAGTAATGTTGATTCCCATGGTAATCGGTTAGCCGTACATTGGCTGCAGCGAATAACACGACACGATCCCCATGGATGAGGAATTACTGAACCTTGTCGGTTAGTCATTGACTCCGAGGCAATGAACGAGGGGGTGTGTTAGCGGGAGCTGTCACTTTCGCTGAAGGGGTTGCTGGTCCCTCTGCAGGTGAAGTAATACGAGTAGTATTCGTAGTCCCCTTATCTCCATCACGGCAAAGTAGCGTGTTGTGCTTACGTTGACACATGGTAGACCCGTGCTCTGGTTGCAAGCAGTTAAAGCAAAGACCTATTCGTTTTACTGTCGCCCAACGGTCATGTACTGAGAAAAACGAGGGTCTGTTGGCAACATGGGCACGTTAATGCTGTTTGTGTGCCAAAATTAACCTTCGCTGAACGCTGGGGAGTGCGACGAGACATTACTGTACCATCATGAACGTTAGCTGTGATAAGCATATTGTTCGCACGGCGCTTCAAAAACACCAGTAGGTCCTCAAGCTTTGGAATCTCGGTAGTGTGCAAACCATACCCCATTCATTCTTGGTAGCATCCGGCAGTTTCGGTAACCGAACCGGAACCACGATAGCGTCCCACTGAAGGACTGGCAATTTCATGACGGACAGAGCTCGGTAACTATTGCGAACGCAATCAATAATATCTCGCAAGACCTTTGATATGTGTGATGGGGGTTATCATAACGGCGTTTAAGTTCTGACCATACCTCTGCATACAGAGCTGTACAGTCCGCCGATCATGGGAACCTTTTCAGCCTTTAAGTATTGGCGCAACTCACCCGAGTTTGTATGTCGGGTCGAGGTCACTACGGTACATGTCCTTAAATACCAGCCGATTCGAAATTTGGCCATCAAATTCTGGTATGGAAATAGGTTCTACCCTCAAATTGCATGTGCGATGATGGGTAGAAGCTACTTCTGGAACTCGTTCTGGTCTCAGATGGGAACGCATTCGGCGCAGGCGAAGACAAGCCTTTGTGAACATCTCATTGTCTCTGCGAACGGTTGAATTCAATTCAGGTTTACAATGTATGTATGTATTCTAAACATTAAGTGGGTAGCGGTAATTCAAATAGAATCACGCGTTATTTTACTAAACTGCACATACATATATGCATTATATATACGTATGTATGTACATATCTAGAAAGAAGAATCCACAAGCAGTAACTCTCAGCAAAGGTTGTGCATTCACATGTACGTGCATACATATTTCTGCATGAGGGTGGTTCGCAAAGACTGAAAAATTCAGAGGGCTATAAAACTGCATACTCTTTCTAGGAAATCTAATTAAAAAAATCTAAATTTTGATGCATTTTTTTTTAAGTTAAACTAGTTTTTGTGAACTTTGTGCAGGTTTTAAAACTTTTATTTATGTGGTACCTGATGTAGATCGACCCATATTTTAAATTAAAATTATTAACAATAAATAAATAAATATAGGTTGCCAACAGCATTTTGAATTTTGCTGATATTATTTTGACCGACTTCGTTATAAAGTGGCTGTCCTTTTAAACACATTAATGCAATGGATCAGTCTTCCCAAACGCATTAATGCAAAGGGTAAGTCTCGTTTATTTCTGAGCCATAG